TTCGATACTTCCTTGTGCTTTGGCGGTCTCGCATCGGCGCAGCAAGGCGCGGGCATGTGCTTTCGAGGCGGAATATGTTGAAACTCCTCGGAGGAGGTGTTTGCAAGACTTCATTGGGCGGGAATTCTGGGAATGGGAATAACGGACCCCGCTATAGAACAAGACTCCCCCATGATGTGGATGGTTATCATGATGGTCGCATGCTTCGTGTGGAAACATAGCGCATGAGGTTAAAATGATTGTTGTTGTTAGTGTTGTTTGTGGTCGTCGTCCCCCCCGCGACCCACCCCGCGACCCACCCCGCGACCCACCCCGCGACCCACCCCGCGATCCACCCGCGACCCACCCCGCGACCCACCCCGCGACCCACCCCGCGACCCACCCCGCGACCCACTGGCGACCCACTGGCGACCCACCAGCGACCCACCCCGCGACCCACCCCGCGACCCACCCGCGACCCACCCGCGCGACCCACCCGCGACCCACCCGCGACCCACCCGCGCGACCCACCCGCGACCCACCTGCGAGCCACCCTGCGACCCACCCTGCGACCCACCCGCGACCCACCTGCGACCCACCCCGCGACCCACCCCGCGACCCACCCCGCGACCCACCCCGCGCCCCGACCCACCCGCGACCCACCCCGCGACCCACCCCGCGCGACCCACCAGCGACCCACCCCGCGACCCACCCACCCGCGCGACCCACCCGCGACCCCCGCGACCTGCGACCCACCCTGACCCACCCCGCGACCCACCCGCGCGACCCACCCGCGACCCACCCGCGATCCACCCGCGACCGATCCTCATTGGCTTCAAGAAAGAATCGGCGCCTGCGGCGGACTTCATCAGAGTCTCGCAGACTGCCGACGTCCCCGCCGCCCCCTCACTCACATCCGCATCTGCGGGGTGCTACGTACTGCAGGTTCGTTTCGTGTCGACCCCGGCGTTGGCTCCCGACACCGCGCTGGATCGTTCAACCTTGAACGATCGGCCGTCTCCGCAACGTCCGATCGTTCAACATCGACCGATTCTGGGCCGCCGTCGGCGTTCAACGTTGAACGTCGGCGGCGGGGTCGCCGCCGGTCGACACGACGCGACCCTACCGTACCCATTTCGGGCGTCCAAGGACAACCTGCGGTCGGGAACTGTTGCTATACCGTGCCGCGGCAGCCGCACCGGCGACACGCTATGGGCCTGCGGGCGGATGGCGTGACGCTTCGCTCCGCGGGGCGAGAGGCTCGGGAAGGCTCGGGACGCTGACGCCTGGGGACGGTGACGCCTGCGGACGCGTGTCGTGCCGAAGCGTGGTGGACCAGAACTGGCGGAGCGACACGCTGAGACAAATTTCCCGACCGTACTTCCTCCTCCTCCTCCTCCTCCTCCTCCTCCTCCTTCTCCTCTCCCTCCCTCCTCCTCCTCCTCATCCTCCTCCCTGCCTCCCATCCCTTCCCATTGCGCTGGTTAGTTCTCTATCCGCCGACGCGTGTCATAGCGGACCTGGAACTCCCAATAGGGAGCCTGTCGTGCTGTGCGCAATCCGAGAACGGGAGCTGCGAACATTGGAGCTGGATGTGGCGGATGAGCAGGAGGAAAAGGATGACTATGAGGCGATGAGGAAGGAGGGGGACGAGGACTAACTGCAGGAGCAGGAGCCGAACTGAAAGGAGCGTGGGGAGCAGGAGGACCAGGCGAAGGCGGAGGAGGGACACGGCGAAATAGATGGGGAAGGATTCGGATCCAGAGAAGTAGCCCGCGCTGTGGCGAGAGCGCCATTCTGAACGACGGGAGCAAAGCACCGATCATGACACGAGTCCCACGCTGCAGCGGGAGACCCAAGGAAGGACCGAAAACGTTCGAACTGGAAAAGAACATCAGAACAACAAACTCGGACCAATCCTGTGCTGAGACAGAAAATGCGCGGAGGAGGGCGCCACTCTCAGCACATCTTCGGGGGAGAGGGGAGAATAGTATTCATACTGCTTCCTTTGTGGGGAGAGGAGGAAGAGAGGAGGAGGAGGAGGAGGAGGAGGAGGAGGAGAGGAGGAGGAGGAGGAGAGGAGGAGGAGGAGGAGGAGAGGAGGAGGAGAGGAGGAGGAGGAGGAGGAGGAGGAGGAGAGGAGGAGGAGGAGGAAGAGGAGGGAGGAGGAAGAGGAGGAGGAGGAGGAGAAGGAAGAGGAGCAGAGGGAGAGAAGGAGCAAAAACGGGATGAAGAGGAGGAGGAGGATGATACTAACATGGCACGACATGCTCATGTAATCATGACTGCACATGCCACCTGACAACGTCATCGCTTTCTCATCAATCGCCACATCCACCGGATTCTGAGTCAGAAGTCGTTGCTTCCGCCGAGACATCGTTACGTGCCAGCGCGCTCTGCTAGGGCGGCACTGGCCAGGTCTGCACCCCCCTTGCTGGCACGCAGCCAGCTTGGGGGCAGGCTCCGAAGGCACAGGACCCACACCCTCGCTACCCACCCAACCACTCACACAATCTGACCCTTGCCACGTGCTTCGGAGCCAAACTTAGCTCCCGGGTCAATGCACATACATATATGTATATATATATATACACACACGTATACTCATCCTGTAGCTCTCGAGGTATATGTTTAGATATGTACATACACAACGTGTACAATCAAAAACTGTAGTAAGGACGCGCTGTAAGGACGCAAAACCCTTCGAAGGTCCTTGGACGCCACAGTTGAAGCTTTCTAGAGGCGCACTGCCGAACCAATCTAAGGACGCAAGTGTGCCCTTTGGAAGCTTACCCGTCCTTACTGTGGATTGTCACTGTATGTTACTACTCGGAGTTGTGGGGGAGTTGGGTAGGGAAAAGTGCTGCAGAACACGACTGAGACGATGCAATACGCTAACTTAGCATTGCAAGCGATACGATGCCGCGAACAACCAACTCCCTGAAGTATTCACTCCCCGAAAAGACGCCAGATGATCGTTGTTGATGAACGACACGACGGAACATTGCAGAACTCTGACATGGGGCTGCCGCTCGCAGCCCGTGATGATTGCGTAGGTGGTTCATGAGACCGGTTCGGTTGCGGAAGCAAGCATCGCGAATGATAAACTTCCCCTCTTCCTGATGTACTCAACATTTCCACAGAAGCTCCATGCCCTATGTCGTCTCAATGCCCTAGTCGCCAACGCTTGCATGGGCGACACATTCAAGTGGAGGGATAAGGATAACCTTACTAAACCGACTCGATCTGTAAGCACAAGCATCCACCGCTGTAAAAAAAAGAAGATAATTGTTTCATCCAACAAGAGTCCGAAGTCCCAAAAAGTCTCCTCAAGCATTTTCTCGTCCTCGTCCTCGTGCTCCTTGTTTTCGGCCGCGAACGCCCCCCTGGCCGGAAGTGGAAGTCGACGGAAAAGAACTATTTTGGACCCGGCCCTAGCGCGAAGGAAAAACCTCCGAGACGGTGCACAGGACCCCAGACCGAGAAACAGAGAGAACCCCCCCCCCAGGGAAGTGGAAGAAGCAGGGCTACTGGTCCGAGCGCGACCCCAGACAGCGCCACCGACCCCGACGCCCACCCCAAGAGCACAGCTCAACAGCCGCTGTCTTGGGTAATCAGTGACTGCGCTCCTGCCAACCCCCCCTGGACACATCGCCTTCGACCATAAGCTTGAGCACCTCTGACATGCTGAGACTCGTGGAGGCCTCTGCTCGCTGCGTCAGTTCAACAACTCCCTGGTCCAATGCCCCAGCCATGGCGACCAGATCTCCTCGAAGCTGAAACAGCCAGGGACACGCATGCGGACTCAGACCCCCGGAAGACATTAAAAACCAATCCCGCTCAATGGAAACTTCCCCGAATAGCGCACCGAGAGCCGTCTGGCCCAACCCCGGATTAGCCGAAGACGACGAATAAGAACCTCAATCTGCAGGTTACCTCCGCCACCGTGGCCTGAGGCACGAGTTGGAGTGTCCTCAGATCCTTGGCCTACTCCCTCAAGCCTCAATCTCCAACCCTGAGGATTCTTTAAAGGACCCGGACCCCGAATTCCTAAATCTCCCGGGTCTTGTCCTGGGTACTGTCGCGGGACTTTTCAAGCCCAAGAGGGCCCCAAGACGGGCCGACAGCGACTGAAGAGGCCCCCAAGACGAACCAAAAGAGGCCCCGAATCACCGAACGATCGGCCCAAGACGCCCAAGATGGCCTGAAGACGGCTGATGAGGCGCTCAAGACGTCCCAAGAGAGGCCCAAGAAGCCTCCTAAGAGTGCCCCAAGAGGCACACATCGCCCAATTCCCTTAGACACGTACACACATGCTTAGCATATGCAGCTTTTCGGCCTCACGGCGGTCAAGACGGCCCAAGAGGCCCCAAGATCGCACCGAGGCTACCCAACAGGCCCACAAGAGGGCCCCAAGATATACCACGAGGACCCCGCCCAAGAAGCGCGCCACATGGCCCAAAAGAGATCTCACTATCGATCTCACCATCGATCGCCCTGTCGATCTTACTATCGATCTGACTATCGACCTTGCGATCGATCCCACTACCGAACTCACTATTGATCTCACTATCGGTCTCACTATCGATCTCCCTACAGATTTCACAATCGATCTCACCACGGGGCACCAGCGGGTTGCAGCACCCCGATGCTGGAAGGCACCCCGAACAGACGGGAGCGTCCTAGAACCTCACCCGCACACTCCATCCGAGACAACCGCGGCGTCTACGGCAGGTTCGTGTCGTGCCGACCCCAGCGTTGGTTTTTGACACCGCAGGGATCGTTCAACCTTGAACGATCGGCCGCTGCCGCAACGTCCGATCGTTCAACATCGATCGATTCTGGGTCGCCGGCGGCGTTCAACCTTGAACGCCCGCGCTGGGGTCGCCGCTGGACGACACGACGCAAACCTACCGTACGTCGCCAGACGGCGGCGGGAACCTCACTCGACGAAGCCGCGCGGCGACAACGACGACGATGACGACACCGTCCCGCGGCGGCGGCGGCGGGCGACGTGCCGCCTCGCGCTCCGCGGCGGCCCGGTGCGCGAAAGCGAAGAGCCCGGAGGGGCTCCCTCGGCCGTAGGCGCACAGGAGGTGCAGCTGCAACACCTGGCGTCCGTCCTGCCGGGCGCTGGGCGCGCGCGCGCGCCGCGCGCCGCCGGCGGCGCCTTCGTCCGTCGTCCTTGGTCGTCGTCGCCCCCCTCGTCGTCGCGCCGCCGCCGTCGTGCCTGTCGTGCGCCGGCGTCCGTCGTCGGTCGTTGTCCGCATCGCCGCAGCCGCCGTCGCCGTCCGCCGTCGTCGTCCGCCGTCGCGCGGGAGCAGGAGCCACCTCGAATCGGCTCCTCCGACACATCCGTCCCCCTCTCGACCCAGCCCCATCCGTCTCTTCCTCTTCCTTTTGCTGTTCCTTCCCCTCCTCCTCCTCCGCCTCCTCCTCGTCCTCCTCGTCCTCCTAGTCCTCCTCCTCCTCCTTCCCCTCCTCCTCCCCCTCCTCCCCCCTCCTGCTCCTGCTCCTGCCTCCTCCTCCTCCTCCTCCTCCTCCTCCTCCTCCTCCCCCTCCTTCTCCTCCTCCCCCTCCTCCTTCTCTCCGCGGGGGGAGGAATGGAAGGGGGGTGGGAAGGAGAGGTGAAGGTGAGGAGGGAGACTAACTGGGGGATGCGATGTGAGGGAGGGAGCGAGCTCGACCGCCCAATGCGCTCCCGACGGGGCTTGATTCCGACGGTGTGGTGGGAGCGTGGCCGGCCAGACAGGCCGCCCAACGGGCACTGACCCAGGTCAGTTTGGCCGCCGAGCATATTCAGATGCCAGAGCGGACACAGAAGGCAACCCCAGATTAGGAGGCAGGATCAGTCAACATCGGATCGATACGTTGGCGGAGGTCCAGGAGAAGGCCAGGAGAGGAGAGCTCCAGAGCCAAGAGTCGGCCCACTCGAAAGGCCAACGTCGTGGGCGGGAAGCACATCCTCGTCCACGGCTTCCCGACCTGGACTTCCGAGACCACGTTGATTCGGGGGGCAGCCGTTAGGAGGTCTGTGGATCTTCCGCTCTATGTGGGCCAGCGTGCGTATGTACGTAGGTGTTCTGTGGTCAGAGAGCGTGAGTGGCCTGTATGACCGCCCCATGGTTTTTCGCTTGCAGAAGAAAAAACGTGACCAGTGCGGACGCCATCGGAGGTTGGGGGGTGAGATCGCAGTGTAACGGAGTCCCCCCACCGGGAAATCGAGATTCGAGTTCGTGCTCGTGCCGTGCGTGCGGGCGAGGCGAAGCTGCGTGGGCCAGCGAGAGGAATTCACTCTGCTGTCGCTAGGGGTCCGCCAACACAATTGTTTCCCCCCCCCGGCCTTGTCAAGCGGTAGCCCACGTTGTCCCGTCGGTTGCCCGTCGGTTGCCCGCCGGTAGCCCACGTTGTCCCGTCGGTTGCCCGTCGGTGCACCCATCGTCGACTGGGACGTCGTGGGCTGAGTGCCGCGTCGCGCAGCGGCAAACCGAACGACACAAGTCGCCCAAGCGAAGGAACAAAAACAAATCCGCCACGTCATCCACACCATCATCGCCCATCAGCACCACGTTCATCACAGTTGTCGTCATGAGCCACCCCCCTCCCCCCACCCCCCCACAACTTCCTTATCACCCGCAGGGTGGTCGTATAGGTAGTTATCGTTGCCCATGTGCCACCTGCTCGCCCTGGAGACGGTTCCACAGTGGTGCGAGGAAGGGAGGGTAACAAAGGAACCTTGCGCGGATGCCCCAGGCGGAACGTATCAGTGGGATCGCGCATCCACTGGTTACAAGCAGCGGTGACCCTAGGCAGGAATGACTATTGGTGCGTGGCTGAGCCGCGATCGCTGCATGCGATTCGACAGCGGCGACCACGTGCTTGGATAAGCCCCCCAGGCCCCCCCCGAAGGAACGCCGCGCCACAGGGATAACTCTGGTGAAGAGTCGCATCGCATTCGGGTCATAATATCAGGTAGGCAACCTTCCAGAGAACGACGAGAGCGTCCGAAAACCTGAAGCTTCCATGTGATCGCGCCTCGGTGTCCAGGCCGCCAGGGCATCGGTGCGAGGTGTCATGGCCCGGTCTTGATGTCCACCAACGTTAGGGATCGTTTTTCATTCGTCGGCGATAACTGTTGATGTCCCTCCCCACCTCTCCAATGGTGAGGTGGGGAGGGAAGCACTGGCCGATCACATGGCCCTTTCGATTTAGGCAACCTCTCGTATGCCCGCGCGCACCAGTACTGCGTAACCCGTTTGGACCTGCGCAACTGATAAGGTCAAGTTATCCGAAAGGGGGGGGCGGGCTGTCTGGATAACCCGGGTATCGCCAGACCCTCAAAACAAACAGTCTCCTACGGAGGGTTCGTGCGGCGCTGGCGCGCACAAAGGTTTTTGACACCGCGCCGATCGTTCTACCTTGGATCGATCGCGGCCCCGATCGTTCGCGGTTGAACTCCGTCGGGTCCAGTGGCGTTACTGTGTCCCTCTGTGCTTCTGCGTCACAGGCTTCAACCTTGAACGCTTTCGCCAACGTCGCCGGCGCGCCAATGCCGCATGAACCTACCGTTAGGTCGGGCATGTCCCCCTACAGACGGATTTTCAACGAAAAATCAAGATAGTCAAAATATTCCAAAAATGACCAGAAACAGTCAAAACATCGTCCCCCGAATATATTTTTACTATCTTTGAATGTTCCCCCTGTAGAGGGGCAGGCCCGACTTAAACCTACCGTAGTCATCATCCCTCCCTCTTGCCCCCCCACTTTTGAGAGGAAGACGACGACACGGACGATGGCGACGGCCCCGCTGGCTCCGCACCGGGGGCGCGAGGCGTCCTGCTCGTCAGCGAGGAGGAAGGTCAGAGACCGCAGGTCCTTTCGTGAATTGCTTAATGGGGGGGCGATGCATGGGGGGGAACACCCACGCTTTTCGTGCCCCTTTCGAGCCCCTGTAGGGCACAACAAATGCACCTTTCTTCCCCCCAATTTTACCGCCCGCGTTACGCAACGCCCGAGTCCTTGGTCCTCAGCCTCAGCCGGAACTGATCCATGCCTCGGGGGCTGGGAGGGAGGAGAGGAGGATGGCTGAGTTCTTCGAAGACGAGCAAGTACTCCTGCCGCGATCCTTCCCTCGTCGCCTCGGCTGGAGCCGACTCGGAGATCTTGTCAGATCGCACCCCTGGAGAGGTCCGGGGAGTAGCCGTATGAGTTTACCTTTGTACCCCCAAATTCGGTAGCAGGAGGAGGGGGTAGGGGATTGCCGGGGTCCTCTATAAACTCTGCACGCGGAGGGAAGGATAGATGTGTGCTTTCACGGGGTATGTATGATCCCGGGTCGGGGGTTCATGGGCCTCCCCCAAGATGGGATGGGTCCCAGGGTTCCACAGTCCCCCCCACCTGATGGGATGGGGGGAGACGCCGACGCCGACGCCGTCGCCGACGCTGCTGCCGCCGCCGGCGACGACGACGACGGCGACGGCGACGGCGACAGCGCCGCCGCCGCCGCTGCCAACACCGACGCCGACGACGACGACGACGCCGACGCCGCCGACGCGGACGCCGACGCCGACACCGACACCGACGCGGACGCGAACGCTGGCGAGGACGCCGACGCCGACGCCGATTCCGCCGCCGCTGACGACGACCACGACGACGACGACGACGACGACGACAACGACGACGACGCCGACGACGACGACGACGACGACGACAACGACGACGGACGGCGGACGACGGACGACGGACGACGGACGACGGAGGACGGAGGACGGACGACGAACGACGGAGGACGGACGACGAAGGACGGAGGACGGAAGACGGAGGACGAAGGACGGAGGACGGAGGACGGAGGACGAAAGACGGAGGACGACGACGACGAACTACCTCACACGCACAGGGGGAGTGCGGGGGGTGCACCAGCACCCTCCACCACGCCACGCCCACAGGGCCACGACCACAGGGTGGGGGACGAGCCCATTCGCGAGGGCTTCGCGAGGCTCACGAGCGTACCGATCCAGCGGGGGTGGGGAGGGCTCGATCCCATATGCATTGGGGTGGTGGGAGTGGGTGGGAACTCTGGATCATGCATGAGGGGAGGAGGGGGGAAGCAATGCGAAGCGCAAGGGCAGGAGGAGGAAGAGAATAAAGAAGAGGTGCCCGTCCATCATGTCGGCACGGGCCCCGTTTCCATCTGTAATCGACGACCGCTGTCGCCAAATCAGGCGGCACTGGCTGCATGTTTCGGGGGAGTACTTTTCCCCGATCTGTGGATCTGACGCCTACGCGCCAGATCCACGCATCCCTACTCCATGTCAACACGTGCTGGAGAGAACCCTTCGACCAGGACGTTCGCGCAGCCTCTCCCCCCTGGGGTCGACCAGCACGACGACACTGACCAGCCAGTCAGACGAGGCCTCGACTTGGAGCACGTGCAAACCGCAGTCGAGGAGCTCGCCGCCGTGACTAAACTCTTGAGCTCAACCAAACGAAGGAGATATGTCCCACCGCACTCCGTCCCTGCCGAGGTGCTCGTCATGACCCTCCAACTTGAAGTACCACCACGACCCCGCCGCTCCCAGGAAGGACCCGGAGACACCAACGCACCACGCGCCGACGAACATGCAGCTCGTCGCAAGCACCGAGCAGGCAGACTTCGACTCGTGGCGAGTCTCGCCCACGCACGCCAACACGACAAGGCTCCCATCCAGGCGAACACGTCTCACAGCCTCCAGCTCGAAAGAGACAACCTGACCCACTCGGGCTCCGTCTTGCTCCACTGCTTCGACGTATCCTGAAGGTGCTTATACCAATACCTACACGAACGAGGTTTGCCTACACGTCCACCTGACTACGCCTACAGAGGCATCTCCCATAGACGACGATCATATGGCATGATCGTCTCACGGGTGGTGGCAGGCAAGTTGTGCAAAGCCAAAACCGTCTTCGCGGTTCGATCACATGGTGCCAAGACTACCGGGCCGCGACCAGCCACGACGACAACAACAACCTGATCAAGCAGAGGCGCACGGAATCCTAGACCATCATCGACACCAGCGACGGCACCCTCGTCCTTCGCAGCCGAGAAGGCGGTTTCATGAGGAGCTCGAGCAAGCTCGACGCCTGAATGCAGGTATGCAACATCAGCCTCGAGGACTGTAGGACCGACACCAAGGCCACTATCACGAATACGAGGCTCCGCTCGTGCGCGCCCGAATGTGACGAGAGCGGCCCGATCCGGGACGTTGGGCGGCAAGTCATCGTCGACACCATCCTCAATTTCCACATCGCCCATCTGAAAGGGCTCCCACAAGTCAACCATGGACCAGCGCGGCAACCTCCACGACGCCACCATCGACGATATCGACACGCTGGTCAAGACCCTCACGCGCGACCTGGACTCCCTCAAGAGATCTCTACGCCAAGGAGGCTGCGGTCTCAACGCGAAGCAGAACATCATCCACGGCACACCGTCTGAGAGACCGCGCGACTTCTACGACCTCACCACCATCAAATGCAGACGGCTCCCCGGCATGAAACATCTGGGCGGCATGTTCGACAGGCGCGATGACTTCACATGTGAGAGAACGGCCAGACTACTAGCAGCCAACCAAGGGTGGTCGCGGTATCACAGTTTTTGGTTCGGCAGAGTCCCACGCCGACTGAAGAGGCTGGACATCCAGGCGGTCGTCCACGAGGCCGCCATCAGCGCAGTAGAGGCGCACCATCCCCGCACGACGGACTGCACGGATACCGACATCCGCCCTGGCACAAAGTCTCCGAGCAGAACGGCACACCCGGACGAGGCGAAGCACGTGATCTCGGCAGTGCTCGGCGAGCTGCACCGCGAGCACCTGCTGCGCTCACAGGGGCCCGGTCGTCGCCGCCCCGCACGCTGGACGACAACAGCTACCTCAACACCGACGCTCACCACCCGCCCGCTCCCCAGAGTGCCTCCGACCTCCACAGGATCGCCTTGTGATGGACGTATCGCATCCTCTGGAGATGACGATCTCGAACTGTGGCACGATTGACCTCTCACCCTCAGTTAGACCGGCGCAGCCTTTTGCACCGTCGACGTGAGCGTGATGAGGGCCGTGTACCCTCGGTGCGCGTTTGCGCCAACGGGGGCGCAGACAAAGCTCTCGCCCGAGACGGCCCCGAGTGAAGAGGCCGAACGCTTCGGAGAGTGCGGAGCTCAGCACGCGCCTTGCACGCGCATCCGAGGGGCACGGCACTCGGCGCGGAGCATAGCATGTGCTGCTTATTTTCTCAGCCCACGGTCACGAACGAGTGCCTCGTATGTGGCACGACTTTCCCGCCACGAGCCAGCGCACAACGCCAAATCACGGCAGAACGGAGATCATGCACGTGCGGCACTGAACAGACATGAACATCATATCCAATCACAGCACCAAAGGCACTCTATATGCGCGGAATGCGGTCAAAAGGAAGAAGAGAAGAGTAAGTACGAGTCCCTCCTTCAGAAGCTCCGAAGCATCTTACCCTCAGAGTCACTCTTAGCCCATCGACTCTCCCTCCCCGCTCCGCGAGCACCGATGATATACAACAGGCCACCGATGACCGCGGCTGAAGCTGCGGAGATGACCCCAGCTCGGGCGTCGTGGCGCCCGCCCCTACAGGAGTCCTCCCCAGCGTCTGGGCCTGGTGGCACAGAGCACGACCCGCACGTCGCTAAGCAGTCCACGGAGGAGAACGGCCCCACAGCGAGCCCCGACAACAGGCAGATGACGAGGAACAAACAGTTCGACCCCAAGACTGTGGTGCTCAAGGGGGTCAAACGCCGACGGAGAGTTCAATTCAACGAGAAGGGGCCCATGCTGCAGACCGACCTGAAAGACCCGCCGTTCATCCTGAGTCGGACAACGTCGGCGAACACCAAACAGGTCCGCGAGCTGAAGGGCTCGATCTGAACCACGCTGAAGCCCAAGGAGGACGACTCACTCGGGCAGGCAGTCGAGAAGGAGAACAAAGCCTACGCGAGAGCCGTCCGCCGCGAAGGACAAGGACATCAGCGAGGCCCCCCAGGCCCTGGCGCAGCGATCGCAACGGAGGCCCATCGGTACCTAGACGTGGGCTTAATGTGCAAGCAAGATCTGAAGGCCATGCTGCAGCAGCTTGACGAATCCGACCAATAGTACAAGATCCAGGATTGCTTCCCGATCTGCAAGCTCGAGAGGGTCGACAAAAGCGGCGACATCAGGCTGAGCTTCGCATGCAATAATCATACAGTACGCGAAGTTAGCTGGCCGCCCTCATCCAGAGCACGAGAACACCGCGTTCTTGAGCAGCACCTGCAAGCTGCCTGGAGGACGAGCCCGCGATGTGAATGTCGGCGCTCACGGACGAATAGAAACTACACAGAACATAGTTGTGAAGGACCTGTCCGTCGACTTTCACGACACCCTCCTACGCGGTAAACATCATCGCGAGGAAAACGAAACTGATAAGCGATAAGCGTGACGGCAGCCGACCCGTCATGAGAGACTGACGCCCGACATCCTTGTCAGCGGCGAGCCGATGAGAAAGCTGAAAGCCACTCACCCTCCCCCAATAAGAGCCTGCTCAAGAAAGGCCTGTGAGGCCCGCTAGTGCCCAGTCTTTCCAGACGGGGGACCCTGCTCGTGGCGGGCCTGAAGGGAAAGCGCCCCGTCAGTCGTTTCCCCCCCAACCCCTTCCTCATCTGACCTTCGTGTTGATGCGGCTGCTGGGCCCCCCCCTCCCCCCCCCCGCCCTCTGCTCGCACGAGGGAGAGCCGACCCCCACTCCTCACCGCTAGAGGAAGAGGCAAGGGCAAGGGAATTCAGGAGGAAGGGATCGAAATACTCCGCAGTGAGCTGGGTCCCGTGCTCGCTGTTCGCACCGAGCTCCTCGGTATCATGTGCTGCAGCGGTGCCGATCCAAGCAACGCCACTGAGCGAAGACCGTCCCAATCTAATGCATGACTTGTTATTAACCGTGTCTATTTATATTTGAGGAGTTTGGCCATCTGGTGTTGTGAATGAGTGGTATATATGTACATGCACACAGATAGATGTATATGCATTGTATATAGCTCTCCCTCTCTCTCTATATATATATATATACGTATACACATCCGCCACCGTGCCTCTGTCACGAAGTGAAGTGCCCCAAGGCTGGTGCAGCACTGAGAAGGCTGTGCTGCTGCTGCAACTGCAGCCACAACTGTAAGTCTTTGAGGGCCCGGCTCAGTCGTTTCCCGGGCCAGTCCGGGCCGGCCCAGGGTCTGCCAGAGTCGCTCGCGTCGTTCTACCCTGCCCAGGAGTGCTCCAAAACAAGCCCAGCTGTTTCCAAGAGGCTCCAACAATTGACAAAGAGGGCTCCAAGTCACGCCACGATCGCTCCAAGACGTTCAAGATGACCTCAAGATGGCCCAAGATGCCTCCAAGACGCCAGAAAAAGCCTCCAAGAGGCCACCAAAGAGGCCCTCAAGAGGCAGAAATCATTGATTTTCCCAAAAGGTGTTTGAAGGATGCGTTCTCGCCTGTTCGGCTTTCTGACGCTCCAAGACGGCCCAAGGGGCCCCTAAGACCACCCAAAATGGCCCAAGAGACCTCCAGGAGGACCACAAGACGTCCTCAGAACGCCCCAAGGCGGCCCAAAAGAGGGAACACGAACCGAACATCCGAGTCTTCCGCCCCATGAGGCCCCCAGGAGGCCCCAAGAGGCCCCCAAGAGGCCCCAAAGAGGCACCAAGAAGCCCCCAAGAGGCACCAAGAGGCTCCCAAGAGGCCCCCAAGAGGCTCGAAACGCTCCAAGATGCTCCAAACCGGCCCCCAAGAGGCATCAAAACTGCATCCAAGAGGCTCCTAAGAGGCCCCCCAAAGGCCTCCCTCCCACGAGATCCTAACGAACATCCAGTAGGCCTGATACCCACAACCCAGGCGCGGTGGCGAGATGGGCCGAAGGCCATTCGATACATGCATCTACACAACAAGCGGAGCAACTATTGAATCCCCCCGATGGTGCGTGTGCGGGCAAAAGGTGCGGTGGCAGCCTCGCGGCAAATCGCATAGGTGGGACGACAACAACTGTTTTCGCTGGTCCTGGGCCCCAAGATTTAGGTCGGGCAGGTCCTCCTACAGGCGGACTTTAAACAAGAAGTCAGACATAGTCAAATAATACAACAAACTAGCCAACACATAATGACAGAGAAAATCGTCCACCAGACTATTGTTGACTATTTAAAAATATTCCTCCTGTAGAGGGACAGGCCCGACTTGACCCAAGATAAACCTGGCCAGCGTCGGTGTCGGTGTACGTAGTTGCCCCTGCACGAGGAGGGCACGCACGCGCAGAGGGCTGGCGCTGGCGGACCTGACTCTGCCTTCTGCTTCTCCACCTGGCGGCGCAGGCCCGACGGTCAACGGCTTGTTTGCCCCGGAGGGTAGACATTGCAAGAGTCAATCCCAATGCGGCCACCGGTCCTTCCCCCGCTCCTCCACCCCCCTCTCTCCTCAAGGCTCAAACCCTGTGAAGGAACAGAGTACAGAGCAGCGTGACCCCGAGTGCTGCTCAAGCCAACGAACATTTGCTGCTTCGCGCGAGTGTTGCAACATTCCCATCCTCCTCCATCCTCCCTCCCCTCCCCCCTTGTTCTTCACATGATTTGTTATTACAGCTTTTGCCGATATGCTGGCTCCCCAGAAAAAGGCGAGAGGTCGAGCTAGGCACGGCATCGGGAAAGACAATGACATGTGCTATCGTGGTCTGTGCATCTGAACCCATGCCGACCTCTGGTGCCACAATTTTCGGCAATGCTCCACTTGCCGTCGCTCAGACGTCCATTACCCGTGCACTGTTCGGCTTCGTGCGTTTATTTTCTCGCAACGCGACCTTAAAAGCTCCTCGATGGTCCAAGCCTCGAAAACATGCACACTTCCGTCACCAGAAGAAGGGGTTCGCCACCTCTTCGAGGAGGACGACCCCTCAGGACCTCCAAAGCCCAGCAGAACCTCCCCAACACTCAACATCGTCGAACATATCCTCGACCCTTGATCCTCAGGAGGAGCTGGCGGACCCCCTTGACAATGCCTCCCTTTCACTCCTCCATCCTCCACGCGCCTCGTCCTCTTTGCTCCCTCCTCCAGGCTTCTCCTCCTCCTCCTCCTCATCATCATCATCATCATCACCAGCATCATCATCATCATCATCATCATCATCAGCATTATCATCATCATCATCATCATCACCAGCATCATCATCATCATCACCATCACCATCATCATCATCAACATCATCACCACCATTATCACAATCATCATCATCATCATCATCATCATCCTCATCCTCATCCTCATCATCATCATCATCATCATCATCATCATCACCATCACCATCACCATCACCATCACCATCACCATCACCATCATCATCACCACCATCATCACCACCATCATCACAATCATCATCATCATCATCATCATCCTCATCATCATCATCATCATCATCACCAGCATCATCATCATCACCATCACCATCATCATCATCAACATCATCACCACCATTATCACAATCATCATCATCATCATTATCATCATCCTCATCATAATCATCATCATCATCATCATCATCATCATCATCATCATCATCATAATCATCATCATCATCACCATCATCATCACCATCATCATCATCATCCATCTCTCCTTCTGAGATCCTGTCTGACGGCCCCGGGGAGAGGGGAGGGCCTCAAAGAGGCCCGAGAGCGGCGATCGGTTTCTTGGGACCCTTGTCTCTCCAGGACCCATCTGCTTCACGCTGAGTAGGAGTCGACATGCGGGAGGCGGGGAAAGTGCCCCCACCCCTTCCCTCGGCGCGCGCGGGAGCGCGCACCTGGAGCGCGCACCGGGAGCGATGACGAGTGCGCAGGGGGAGGAGGGGGAGGAGAAAGAGGAGGAGGAGGAGAAGGAGGAGGAGGAGGAGAAGGAGGAGAAGGAAGAAGAGGATCGAGGATCGAGGAGGATCGATGAAGAGGAGGAGGAGGAGGAGGAGGAGGAGGAGGAGGAGGAGGAGGAGGAGGTGGGGAAGGCCCCGTGGTTTGGCGTCCGCTCCATGGGAGCCTACGTGGCCCCTGGGGCTGTCCGATTTGGCCTGACTTAGACTGAATTTGGAACACGTGTGGGACCGGATTTGGACAGGATTCGCCCCTTCACAAGGGGGAGGAGGAGCAGGAAGAAGCCAAATGCCCTCACAAAGCGGTCCGAATGCAAGGAACGCATCCGTGGGCAGGAGCTGTACCCATGCCCACTGCGTCTTGGCATTTCGGGCTCCCTGCCCCAATCCTCGTCCCTGACGATGCCAAGACGAGGATAAAGTCCGGTGAGGATAAATCGGAAATCTCTGAGATCCAGCGGCTCTGGAGGATGTCTCGGGCGCCAAGGCCTTCTCAGAGCGTTCCGGAACGCTGTGAGAACGCTCTGGAAGGGGTTTATCCTGGTCCTGGACCCGTCCTCGTCCTCCTCTTCCTCCCCCCCGGCCGCACCACAGTCGAGTCCCTGTGTGCACACTGTGGGCCCTGCCGCGCTTTCCTTCCTAGATATTTTTCCCCGGGGAACTGCCAATCGCGCACTCTTCTGCCCACGAGTCCTTCCGGACACTCGGCTCAGTGGTGGTGGCAGTGCCCCAGGAGCCAGAGGCGCAAGCTCCCCGGGAGGCCCAGGACGCAGTGGACATCGGTGCAAGCCTTGCCCGCGCCCTCGCCCCCTGCGGCCGGGGCCACCCGTGTGGCCCGGAGAGCGGCGCCCCGTCGGGCGCCGCACCGGATCGACGATGTAGCGTCGAATTTTGAAGACCTGGAAATGGGCACCAACACCAACACAAGGGGGGTGGCCTCCACCGATCTCGGTGTTGGTGGTAATTCTTCGGCCGCCTGGGAAGCCAGAACATTACCACCATCGAGATCGGGGCGCTCTTTTCTCGGTGGAGGCACACCGCCGATGTTGGTGTTGGTGTCAAGCTCCAGGCCTCCGAGACTATCTGGGATGTCTCGGGTCCGGAGCCCCAAGAAGGGCTCCAGGGCGTCAGCGACGTCGACGCCGCCGCCGCCGTCGTCGTCGCCGTCCCCCTGCAGGGTCGGCGGCATCGGCCGTCAGGCCTTCCCAAGATCCGGGAGGACTCCGGTCCAGAACAACTCCGTCTTGGGCCCCCGAGGCACGAGCCAGGAGTCGCCCCTGACCGCTCCTGGCCCTGATGATTCGGAATTGGTTACCCGAATTATCTGGGATGACTCCGGTCAAGGGCGTCTCCGGCTTGGCCCCCGGGGCACGAATCAGCAGCTACCCAGGACCACCCCCTGTCCTGACGATGCGGGTCTCTGAGTGGCTCTCCCGCAGCACGCGGCCCGAATCGCAAATATCATTCGGCAAGTTCCTGTCGATCGCTCAACCTTGAACATGGAACGACCGCAACTTTCCGATGGCACGGATCGTTTACTGTCGGCAGATTCGGGGCCGCTGGTGGCGTTCAACCGTGAAAGCCCGCGCCAGTGTCGTCGCCGCGTCGACGCTGCGCGAACCTGCCGTACAATTGTTCTATGCCTTCGAGCCCACCAGAGGCCACACACCAAGCCCTGAAATCACGCACGCAGCGATCAACATCTCGGCCATCACTGTCCACGACAGGCCATCACACGATTGGACACCAGAGCCGCACCACAATGCGGCACTGCCGTGCGGAATAGATAGGAGGGAGGGGAGGGCTGGGTACGGCACATCCACTTATCCTGTTCCTGCTGCTGCTGCTGCTCCGCCTTTTCCTGACAGGGTAAGTAATGGAGGGATGAGAGAGAATTCCTCGGTAAGCTCGGTTGGAGAAAGTCCCACTGGGCCCCAACATGGGCAGCGGTAGAATGTCGAAACCGAGAGGAACATTTGCGAACTCCTGTGGAATGAGACCCGATGTCTTCTCGGCACCGCAGACTGCCGAAGAGAACCGCCACCTTCCCTGGGAGGCGTCTGCCACGCACTGCCATCCTCCGTCTCTGCTACACTGCAGCCGGACCGTGAGGATGCAAAGCCCCTGGACGCCCACACCGAAGCCGAAGTTGGAAGCCCGTGGCCCACGGCTAACGGTTGGGATGGGGCAAGAGACAAGGATGCCAGGGGGGTAGCCTTGGAAAGTTACTCCTCCTTGTGATGCGGCTTGACTGCGCGACCTGCCTTTCGTCTGAGCTCGGCAATCCAACAAGACCCCGAGCCAGACCCCGAGGTCCGACGCCGAGGTCAGAAAAAAACACATTATGAACACACGCCCCAGATCTTCCGACGTGATTTCTCGAGCCGGATAGAACCCTCAGGGCCACGGGGCCCAGAAGGGAACAAAAAACAACGCCCATCGTGACCTTGATTGCGGCGCCCAAATCTGAATGCAGCTCGGGGTGGACCCCCCATAGTGTACCCCCTCCCTGCATTCGACCCAAGTCGCCTTGAGGTCTTCCACCGCACCATGTGGAACGTCTAAGACCTCGCGGCGGCTCAGAGGCGCTGCAACGGCACGGGCTTCTGAAGCAGCAAGGAGGCGGAGAGAGGAGGAACGAGGACGGGGAGAGGAAGGGGAGAGGAGGGATCGAGGACGGGAGTAGCGAGGAGCGAGTAAGAGAAGAGGAAGGGACGGAGGGAGGGAGGCAAGGGGAATCCGATGAGGCGCGCCGGGGGTGAGTTCCAAGTCTAAACTCGGAAAACATGGCAGAAGGATGGAGAGGTGGAGGAAGATGAGGAGGGAGGAAGATCAGCGAGAAGGAGAGATCGATGGGGACAAGAAGAGGGAGATCACGAGGCAGGATGCTACGATCACATATTGTGAGGAGAATGGCGGGAACCAAGCGTGGCGTAAGGATCCACCTCCACAATTCCTATATCAAATCACTTGTTGTTCATCGGAGGTTGGGGGTGAGATCGAAGTGGAACGGACAGCCCCCACAGGGAAATCGGCTTCGGTTTCGGGATCGCGTCGTGCGTGCGGGCGAGGCGAAGCTGCATGGGCGCGCGAGATGAATGATCTGCCGTCGGTAGGGTGATTCGGATGAACAGTCCGGACCTCCAGTGGGCGCGCGGTGGCTGGGGGTGTCCCGCCGTGGTGTCTCGCGGTGTCCCGATGGTATCCCGCGGTGTCTCGCGGTGGGCGCGCGAGAGGAATGATCCCGCTGTCGGTAGGGCGATCTGGATGAAAAAGTATGGCCCTCCGGTGGGCACGCGGTGGCTGGGGGTGTGCCGCTGTGGTGTCCCGCCTTGTCCCGATGGTGTCCCGCCGTGGTGTCCCGATGGTGTCTCGTGGCATCCCGTGATGTCCTGTGGTGACCCGCGGTGTCCCAATGGTGTCCCGCGGTGTCCCGTGGTGGTGTCCCGCGGTGTCCCGCCGTGGTGTCCCGTCGGTGCCCCGTCGGCGTCCCGTCGGTGTCCCGTCGGTGTCCCGTCGGTGTCCCGTCGGTGTTCCGTGGTGCCCTGTCGGTGTCCCGTCGGTGTCCTGTGGGTGTCCTGTGGGTGTCCCGATTGGTGTCCCGATTGGTGTCCCGTGGGTGTCCCGATTAGTGTCCCGATTGGTGTCCCGATTGGTGTCCCGTGGGTGTCCCGATTAGTGTCCCGATTGGTGTCCTGATGGTGTCCTGATTGTGTCTCGATGGTCTGTGTGGGGGGGGGCAGCCAGGGCTGCCAAGAATGGGGGCTAGCGAGGAGAGGAAAGTAGTGGCCAATCCTTACAGCTGGGCGGCATCATCGTCTTGCATCGTCGCCAACTCGTGAGCGCATCACCAACATCGCCACCATCACCATCATTGCAGTTGTCCTCAGCTGGTTCTTTCCCCCAAGCCTCCTGATCACCCGAAGGGTGGTCGTACAGGTATGTATCCTCCCCCCTTGTGTAGCAAACAAGCATTGGCATCGCGGAGCCCCACTTCAGCCACGCACTCAAGGAAAGTGTAAGAGCGTTCGGTCCTCTCATTCTGTCAAGATCATGTGGAACATCCGTATTGGGCAGATGTGCCGCTCTGGCGGCTATGTTGCCGCCGTCGCAACCCCGTCGCCACCTCGTCACCGCCCGTCGTCTGGGCCAGTGTCCCACTCTGGCGGCTATGTTGCAGCGGGCGCCGCCTCGTCGCCGCTCGTCGTCTGGGCCGGTGTGCCGCTCTGGCGGCCATGGTGCCGTCGTCGCCTCGCCGTCGCCGCCTCCTGGACCTCGCCCAGGGTGCGCTCTGACCAGAACTTCGAGGCGAATCTGGCGGTGGCGACAAGGGCCCCCCAGGAGGCCTAAGAAGGCGAAATCGGGCGAATGATTATCAGGAAAATCCTGGAGGCATCGCGCGGCAATTTGAAACCCAATGTACGTCGGATCCACGTAGGATTTACGTCAGGTTCACGACGGAGTGCGTCGGATATACGTCGGATTCACATTAGATTTACGTCAGGATTACGTCGCACCATCGCGGCGCGAACGTCGTTCCATATCTGACGGGGAGGCCGTGCAGACTAGATAGCACAAGTGCTACGAGCCGCGCGAGGCCTCCAGGATGTTGGTCATAAGTACCTTTTCATCCTCCGAAGAAGAGCCTGACGATCTGTAGGGACATGGCGGGGCAATCGCCTCTTGCGTGCACGTGCGCGCGGGCTTCGAGTGATCGACGTCGGCGCTGCTCGCAAGGGCTAGGGCGTGGCACGCTGGGGGTCCGTGGGGCCTCCTCCTCCTCCTCCTCCTCCTCCTCCTCCTCCTCCTCCTCCTCTTCCCTCCTCACCTCCTCCTCCTCCTCCCTCCTCCTCCTCCCTCCTCCTCCTCCTCCTCCTCCTCCTCCTCCTCCCTCCTCCTCCTCTCCTCCCTCCTCCTCTCCTCTCCTCCTCTCCTCCCTCCTCCTCCCTCTCCTCCTCCTCCTCCTCCTCCCCTCCCTCCTCCCTCCTCCCTCCTCCTCCCTCCTCCCTCTCCTCCCTCTCCTCTCCTCTCCTCCTCCTCCTCCTCCTCATCCTCCTCCCTCCTCCTCCTCCTCCCCCTCCTCCTCCACCTCTCCCTCCTCCTCCTCTTCCTCCTCCTCCTCCTTTTCCTCCTCTTCCTCCTCATCCTTCCTCCTCTTCCCTTCTCCTCCTGCTCCTCGCCCTGCTCATCTTCACCTCCCGAACCACGGCATCCGCCTGTTCGATGTAGATTTCGATCCAACTGGGGCGTCGCTGCATGTGGGCGCGATAACTTCGGGGGGGGAGAAAGGTGCACTTTTCGGGCCCTGAAGGCCCCCTCTGGGGCCCTGCAGGGCCCCTCAAGGGGCCCTAGAGGGCCCCTTTTCTGCAGCCCTCGCTGCCCCCCCTATTTTGCGACACCCCCCCACTACGCGGCCCCAACATACGGAATGCGCCGCCACCTATACATGTGTTGCGTATGGCCTTTCTCGTTTTGTTTGCTGGGCTGACACAGCGGCGGAAGGACAATTCACTGCGTGCTCCGAAAATCCACCGGCCCCGAACTCGATTCGCTTCCGACCGTTTCTGGCCCCTGGGCGGCTACACGCGCGGCAAGAAGGGTCCAGGCTTACCTCTCCCTCTCTATCCACCTCTCTATCACGTACAATGTCTGTTATGTCTCGCTCTCTCTCTCTCTCTGTCTCTCTCTCCCTCTCTCTCTATCTCTGTATATATAAATATGTATGTATGTATCGCTCTCTCTGTCTACTTCTCTCTCTCTCTCTCTCCCTCTCTCTCTCTATGTCCCTCCCCCTTTCCTCATATATCTCTTTCGTTCTCTCTTTCTCTCTCCCTCTCTCTCTCTTTCGCTATCTGTCTTCACCCCTTCTCTCTTTCTCTCTCTTTCTCTGTCTCTCTCTCCCTCTCTCTCTCTATATATATTTCTCCCTCGCTGTTCCTCTCTCTGTTTCCCCCTCTCTCCTCTCGCCACTCGCATGGTGGGAGCAGGCAGGGTGCCGAGGAACGCAACAGGGCGAGGCGCATCTGAGGGGGGAAGGCTGCAAACTGAGACCCAGAAACGGGGTGGGAGTGTTCCGTCGCTGGGTGTGTGATCAAGTGGGAAGTAACCAATGGACTTGGGACCGACGACGGACTGTGACCTCATGGCGATATGGTCACCCCCGCTACAGCGCAAACGTTGCATCCGCGATGGAACTTCGAATCGTGTCTTCGCACAACAAGTGTGCATCACCAATGGCAAGCCTTTGTCATGGCATCAACCATGAGACTGCATATACCACAAATGGCTACACAACCCGTCCCATCGGCTATGATCACAAACTGTGGACGGTATGTTGTTTTCGCTTTTTCACCATCGCGCAAACACCAACCGTTATCCGTCCCATCTGCTCATTGTTCAAATGCTGAACGGAATTCGGTTAACCGTCCGTGACAAATCGACGATGCTTTTGGTGTCCTCGGGTGTTTTCTTGAGAATTCTGGCCATTGCGAACTGCTTGCAATGTCCGAAAGAACTGGCGTACATTCGCGTGATTCGAAGTGACAGACAAGCCTCACGCCGATTTCTTCGTATTCGATCAAGTCGATGCGACCGCCGTGAGAACACTGCCGCCAACTCCTGCAGCACATCCTCCGCATCTGCCTGGCATCATCCTCCTTCCACTTGTTATGCTAGGGGTAGTGTCTTGCTTAATGCTTCGACTGTGTCTATTGAGAGCTGCCCAAAATACTGATCAGATAGCCATGAAGAAGCTGTGTACACGTACACGTCGCCAAGTCAAACTACTGCACAGCTTTATCAGCTCACAAGCGCATATACGCGGTCGCAAGTCGCAAGGCCAGGAGCAGGTCAGATTTGCGTCTGAACGATCAGGCGTGCGCCAGTTCTTGCCCTGGCGGCTCCAGGCGCTTCCTCGCACAGAAATGCAGGGCTGGGGCGGGGAAGGCGCCTTGCGCTCCTGCATCCACTGCAGCTCCTCCCGCATTGTTCCCTGCAGGGCGGGCGCACTGGCGGTCCCGCTTGTCAAGGTGAGTGTGCAAGTCAGGATGAGGACAACGCGGAGCAGGAGGACGAGCACGAAGCACTTCAACTGGTCTCGGCAGGAGACGTTATAAATGACGCGCTGGGGAAGATGGTCGAGGATTTTCGCGGACCCCTTGGGAATTCCTTGGCGTGTGCAAGAATAGTCCCTCCCGCAACCCCTTACTGGGTACCCCGGCCCGCCGACTTGGTGGGGGGTGCCGCTGGGCCGGGCCGAGGGGATCATCTGCTCGAGAGGCGCCCTGTGACCCCGAGACAATCCCAAATTAGTACCCAACACGTCCGAGATGACCTAAAGAAAGCCCAAGGTGGCCCCGATCTGCCTTCAAGACGGCCCAAGATGAACCCAGGACGGCCCAAGATGGCCTCAAGACAGCCCCAGAGGCTCCTGATGCGGCCCAATGAGGACCCGAAGAGGTCCAAATGAGGTATTTGCATTCACTACGTTGACGCATGTTGTAGAGGTTTCGCTCCTTCGGGCGACCTGAAGCCGAAGATGGCCCCAGAGGTCTCCAAGATACAGCCAGAAAGCCTGCAGAGGGCCCCGATCAGGGCCAGGAGGGCCCAAAGACGGCAGAAAAGGTTCCAAAGAAGGCCCCAAGAGGGCCCAGAGGCATCCACGGTGGCCCGGAACCATAGCACCCGGGCCGCCCATCGAGTCCCCAAGACGGCCTCCTCCGAAGGCCAAGCTGCCAACTGCAGGCCCTCAGAAGCCCCCCAGGAGGCTCCCCCAAAAGGACCTCAAAAGCCCTCAGTAGCCCCCCAAAAGAATCCAAAGCTTCTCCTCCCTTCACCTTGTCCAGGACTCCTGTCTCTCGCAACCCAGGACTCCTTTCTTCCTTATGGATGACTTTCCGTCGTGTCGATAGGCCGGGCCGCGAGTTTCGCCTAAGACCTCCTCACCGCTCCACGACCCGAAGATTTGACCACATGTGACAGCTGCACCGCTGGAGGGTGGTGGCTCTGGCTCAACATGGGGCTCCCGCTCGAGATTCACTCAAAGTGCACCACCACAGACGAAAGGTTGTGCGACATCGGCACAGATGGGCCGGTCCTTTTCAAGACGGGGATCTCGCTGGACCCCTCGCCGAGTAGTATGGACATACCTTGTCGAATTCCTGGAGGAGGAGGATGAGGAGGAGGCGGAGGAGGCGGAGGAGGAGGAGGCGGAGGAGGAGGAGGAGGAGGCGGAGGAGGAGGAGGATGCAGGACAGGTCGCTCCCAGGAGAGGCCTTCCGCGTGAGCGGCAGGCACATCGGGTGCTGGTCTTTCCAGGGCGCGCTTCTTGCGGCGACAGGGAAGGCTTGCAGTGATGCATGGGGGCGGGACTCGAGGCGGGAGGGTGCATTGAAGCATCGTGCCTGCATCTTCAGTCTACTCTGGTACTTCCTCCTCCTACTCCTCCTCCTCCTCCTCCTCCTCCTCCTCCTCCTCCTCCTCCCGCTCCGTCTCTCCCGCTTTCCCCGCCTCAAAGGTCACCACAGCGGCCAACGGACGATGGCTTGCGCCCTCTTCGAAATAAGTGCACATATATTGCTGGCCGTTTCTTCGCCAGAAGGTCAGAATTCTGTGTTTGGCCGCCCAGAGCCAGATTGCGAGGATACTTCGGAAACCGAGCTTCCCGAAAAATTATCTCATCGATGTTGACGACAACGACGGCGACGACGAGGACCACGACGACGAGCTTACGTCGATTACCGCAATGTCGACGACTACGCCGGCGACGGCGTCGACGGCGCCGTGGACGAGGCGCATCCTGGAGATGACAAGGTTCGACGGAGATGTTACACCTGCGCCCAGCTCCTCATCTTCGTGCTCATTCCCATCGGCGTCGTTTTCGACGCCCTCATCGTCGTCGCCCTCATGTTCCCTTCTCCCCTCTAATTTTTATGCCGTGCTCTGCAGGAGCATAGAGCTAACACCCACGCCCGCTGTGCATCTATTCCCCGCTTTCCTCATATCCGTCCTGATGGCCTTCCTCTGCCCCTCCTGTATGCTCCTCCCTCTCCTCCTCTCCTCTTCCTCCTCCTTCTCCTCCTCCTCCTCCTCCTCCTCCCCCTCATCCTCCTCTCATCCTTCCGCAGTGACCTCGCCCTCCTCCTGCCCACCCCCTACTGTCCTGATCGTCCTCGTCGTCGGCCTGCTTCTCCTCCTCCTCCTTCACTTCCTGTCCTCCTCGTCCCCGTCGACGTGATAGCTGGCACAGTCCTCCTCAATTTCCTCCTCCTCCTCCTCCTCATCCTTGTCCTCGTTCCTTCTCCCTCTCCTTACCCCCTGGTCTTCCCATCTTCCTTCTCTGGTCCGTTGTCGTCGCCGTCGTCGTCGTCAGCGTACTCCTCCTCCTCCTGTTACTCCTCCTCCTCCTCCTCCTTCATCTTTGTCCTTGCCATCGTCATTCCTCTCCTCCGACTCCTGATTCCTCTCTTTATCGTCTTCATTCTCCTGATACTCCTCCTCCTCCTCCTCCTCCTCCTCCTCCTCCTCCTCCTCCTCTTGCTCCTCCGCTTCCTCCTCCGATGTACCTCCCCTGCGCGTGCTCTACTGCTGCCTTCGGAACCTGGAACTTCAGGCGGAAATTGGTCACCTGCGCCAGTCGGGTCAGCCAGGCCAGGCCACAGGTGGCGAGCGCGGCCCTGCAGACGCTCGGGGCAAGGAAGAGAGGGAGGAGGATCTTGACTCGGGGCCCAGAAAGGGAAACTGCTCAACGGGATCATGGAAATTCCCAATCCTTCTCGTTTGCAGGGTGCTCCCGTGTCCAACACCCTGGTTGGCGTGCTTTGGTCTCGAGTTAGGGATACGCTCGTACGCCAGTCGGCGGATTGCCCCGGGGAGACAGAAGGCAAGAATCCGCCACCGTGTCTGCACGGAGTGAGCGTTTTAGAATGCTCGTCTGGCGTTTTGGAAGTCTTTTAATGTTTTCTACGGGGCCCCCCCTCACCCGGGCACACGCGGGGGCGTGTGACGACCCCCCCCCCCGAAAATAAATTGACATCCGGCAGACTTTTCGGTCTCGGGACGGCCAAAATGGCGTCCCATATAACTTCCAAGACAGCCAAGATGAAATCAAGATAGCCAAAGACGACTCGAGAGGCTCGCAAGACGGCCACAAGACGGCTAAAGAGGCCCCCGAGACGGCCCAATAAGGCTCTGACAGGCACTCCAGGAGAGCCCGAGGAGGCAACAACCATTGAGTTCCCATAGGTGGTTGAAGGATTGTGAAGTTCTCGTCTGTTTGGGCTTCCGACCGCCCAAAACGGCCCAAGGGGCTTCCAAGATAGCTCCAGGTCGGCCCATGAAACCCCCAAGACAGCCCCGAGTCGGCCCAAGAGGAACCCAAGATTGCCCAAGAGGTTCCCAAGAGGTTCCCAAGAGGGCCCCAAGACGGCTCTAAAGCGCTCCGGGAGGGCAACAAGACGCCCCAGAGAGGCCCCCAAGACGGCCTCCGAATGCGCCCGACGGGCCAATCGTCTCCCAAAAACAACACAAGAGGCCCCCAAGAGGCCCCCAGGAGGCTCCCAGGAGGCCCCCAGGAGGCCAAAAGATAGTCCCAGGGAGCTTTCTTCTCCTCGACCTGATTTTCTCCTTCTCTTCCTCCTCCTCCTCCTCCTCCTCCTCCTCCTCCTCCTGCTGCTCCTTCTCCTCCTCCTTCTCCTCCTCCTCCTCGTCCTCCTCCTCCCTAACGCCCGGACCCTACCGCGCGGACGAAGACGATGTCGGGATCACGACCGTCCCCAGTTCAGACCACTCACTGAACGGCCGCGGGGTGTGAGCTCGACCTCATTCCTACCTCGCGGGCGAAGACGAGGTCGAATTTACGACCCGTCATTATCTGACCACTCGTCGGACTTGCGCTGTTCCTACACTCAGTCTCTTTCCTGCAGCGCTGTTGCACAGGCACGGTGGCGGGGCTTGCCGCAGGCAACAAATTAGGCAGATAGGCGTAGCCGATCCGACACGGCGAGGCCAGCAAGGCGCATTACCTCCATGGTACCCTCCTGGAGGACTTCCCGGAGAGGGAGGAGAAGAGGGCGGGAGGAGAAGGGACGAGACCAACGCGCCAGGAGGCTGCAGGAGGAGGAAGAGGCTCACTACGTGGTTGGATCCACCCCGGTGGCCAATACCCTCCTGTGAGGATAGGCCTTCATTCGCTGCCGTGCTGGAAAAACTTGCAGCAATTGCTCAGACCGGCAATTCCTGGCCACCCGGTTCCCAAGCCTGCGAGATGACGCATTTCGCCTCTGATGAGGCCAGAACCTGGATTCAATGGCTGAGTTACGACGTGCGTGGCACTCATCGACAGACCGCCGAAGCCAATAAGGCGACAGACCGCCGAAGCCAATACTACGGAGACCAGAGAAGACGAGTACCACGGGTGCCTCCCATTACCCTCAAACTCGTTTGAAGCTGTGCCTCACCACCGCTATCATGCATTGTGCAGGCAACTCGTGTGAAACACAACAGAGAGACAGCTGACTCTCATCTGAGCCCTTGGTCATCATAGTTGCACTGTTTACATGTCATGCCTCGATCCGCTGAGCCTTCGCACAGAAGGGCATGCTATTGCCACGATTAGGTTCAGACTATGCGGCTGTGGTAAAACAATCGCTTGGTCAAAGGCGCGCGTTTTATTGCAAACCACTGCCAATTGAACCGAACGTAAGAATCCGCCACCGTGCCGTTGGGCAAGGAGTGGGTGTGCCCTCAGGTCCTTTGCGAAATCCTCTAAGCCTCAGTCCTCACTCCTAAGGAGTTCTTAAGGGTCCCAGAACCCCAATTGCCAAATCTTCTTTGGCTTGACGCGGCCTGTCGGGGGCATGTCGCGGCTTCTCGCGTGACTTGTTTGGGACCTATAGGGCCCCAAGATGAGCCAAGAGGCCCTCAAGAGGCTCTCCAGACGGCCCAAGAAGGCCGCGAGGCGCCCAAAGATCGCACTAAGACGCCCAAGATAGCCCCAGGATGACCCAGGAGGCCTCCAAGACGTCCCAAGAGGCCTGCAAGCAAAATCATTGATGCTACCTAGGTGCTTGAAGGCTTTTGGCGTTCTCGCCTGTTCTGCTTCCCGACGCTCCCAGACGGCACTAGAGCCCCCCAAGGTCGCCCCCAATCGGCCCAAGAGGCTTCCAAGAGGGCCCCAAGACGGCCCACGAAGCGCCCAAGACGGTCCAAGTGGCGCCACAGACGGCCCAAGAGGCCCCAAAGACAGCTCCAAGAGGTGACCCAGATGGGGGGCCCGAACGGACATGTCCTCGAGCCCTCGGCCCCGAGGGGCCCGCACGAGGCCCCATGAGGCCCCCAAGAGGCCCCGAGCGGCCCTCAAGAGGCCTCAAGAGGCCCCCAACCCAAGAGGCCCCTGAGAGGCCCCAAAGAGGCCCCAATACTGCCCCCGAGAGGCCCCCGAGAGCGCTCCGAAGAGACCCCAAGAAGCATCCCTGAGAACTCACCGAAGCTCCTAATGACGCAACTCGCATGCGGTCCCACACCCATGTCGGTAAACCCGTCACACGCTTCGTGGCTCCATAGGGAGCTCCACCTAAGGTTCCAATGGCGCAGCCCGCGTGCGGTCCCGCATCCATTTCGGTCCCCCCCGCATACTCGTGGCCCCATAGGGAGCTGCAACGAAGGTCCCAATGGCGCACCCCGTGTTTGCGGTTCCGCACCCCTTTCGGCACACCTTCCACACAGTTCGTGGCCCCATAGGGAGCGCCACCGAAAGTCTCAATGGCACAGCCCGCGTATGCGGTCCCGCACACATTTCGACACGTCCCTGCACACGTCTCGTGGCCCCACAAGGAGCTCCACCGAAGGTTCCCAAAGCGCAGCCCGCGTGCGGTCCCGCACACATGTCGGTACACCCCTCACATGCTTCGTGGCCCCATGGGGAGTTCCACCGAAGGTCCCAGGTCCCCGTGGCGCAGCCCGCACGATCTCGCCCCACTCCCGTCGACACACCCCTCACGCGTTTCGTGGCCCCATAGGGAGCTCCACTGAAGGCACCAACGGCGCAGCCCGCACACGTCCGCCGCACCTATTTCGGCACACTCTTCACACGCTTAGCGCCCTCTATAGGGAGCTCCACCGAAAGTCTCAATGGCGCAGCCCGCATGTGGCCCCGCACCCTTTTCGGCACCTCCCTCTCACACAGTTCGTGGCAGTATACGGAGCTCCACCGAAAGTCCCAGTGGCGCAGCCCGTTTACGCCGTCCCGCACACATTTCGGCACACCCCTCACGCGCTTCGTGGCCCCATATGGAGCTCCACCGATGGTCCTAGTGGCGCAGCCCGCATGCGGTCCCGCACACATGTCGGTGCACCGCTCACACGCTTCGTGGCCCCAATAGGGGGCTCCAGCGAAGGTCCCAAGTCCCCGTGGCGCAGCCCGCATGATCTCGCCCCACTCGTGCCGACACACCACTCACGCGTTCCGTGGCACCATATGGAGCTCCACTGAAGGTTCCAACGGCGCAGCCAGAACGCGTCCGCCCCACCCATGTCGACACTAAAGCGTTTCGTGGCCCCACCGGAGCTGCACCGAAGGCTCCAGTGGCGCAATCCGGATGCGTCCACCCGCCCATATCGGCACACCTTTCACACGGTTCGTGGCCCCAGTGGGAACTCGACCGAAGGCCCCAATGGCAATGTTCGCATGCGTCCGCCCCACCTATTTCGGCACACCCCGCACGCGCTTCGTGGCCCCATATGGAGCTCCACCGAAGGCCCCAATGGTCATGTTCGCAAGCGGCAGCCCCACCCATGTCGGCACACCCCTCATGCGATTCGTGGCCTCAGAGGGAGCTCCACCAGATGCAATATTCACAACGACGGCACTCGCAACTGCAGATGGTTGGGTCCTTCGCCAGGCTAATGTTTGGCAGTTTCGCACAGGAATCCTCAACATTCTTAAAATCGGTGGCACCCCTCGCCCAGATCAGGACGTCAGGGTCCAAAAGCACAAATGTTCCAACAATTTAAACATAGCGCCTTCAAACACATAATGGAATTCACCGATGTTGAGCCCAACTCTTCGAACATTGCAGATTCGCCTGAGACATCCTCGAAACATCGAGCCCCATTCCCAATGCGATGCTGAGAAAAATGAACTTTCGCCTAAGACACCCTTCCAAATCGAGCCCGGACATAGAACACACACACGGGCGCACACGCGCACACTGAATACACGCAACACACACAGAACGCACACACAACCATCATACAGAAAACACACACACACACTAACACATACCACACACAACATCTACAACACACAGATAACATGCGCACACACACACACGCAAAGAACACACACACACGCACACACGACACACACACACATCTCACACACACAGCACACTCAACACCAGCAACACACACAACGCTCCCACACATGCACACAACATACCTATCACACATAACACGCAGAAAAGACACGACCCAAGCATAACTCAAACATAGCACGCACACAAAACAACACACGCACACATCTCACAACCAACACACATAATACAACCCTTACACGCAACACACACACACTCACACATCATGCACGTGTTTTTTTCTATGAGCCTGGACTCGCACGTGCCACTTGTG